ATTTACTGCAGTGCTTTGTTTTAGTTGCTGAAATATTCACAACCTCAGTTATTGCTTAGATCTTAAAAGAATTACAAGGGGAAGTCAAACTCCATTCTTTAGTAAAATGCAGAGCTGGGAATAGTCCCATTGGGCAATAAAAATATAAAAAGCTTCAAAAATATATCTATCTTTAGGTCATTAAGCTTACAAAATCAGGGTGCCTGGGTGGCTCAGTGGATTAGAGCCTCTGCCTTCAGCTCAGGTCATGATTCCGGGGTCCTGGGATTGAGCCCCGGATCGGGCTCTCTGCTCATTGGGGAGCCTGCTTCCCTTCCTCTCTCTCTCTGCCTTCCTCTCTGCCTACTTGTGATCTCTGTCTGTCAAATACATATAATCTTAAAAAAAAAAAAAAAAACTTACAAAATCAATCCAGATTCACAATTTGACTAGGACCCCATCCTGATGAGATATTTTTAAAGTAAACTAAGTTAGCCACATCTTAATCTCTGTATATCTCTAGCCATGGATTTTTTAAAAAAGATTTTATGTATTTATTTGACAGAGAGAACACAAGCGGGGGAAGCTACAGGCAGTGTAAGGAAGAAGCAGGCTCCCCCCTGAGCAGCGAGCCAGCCTACATGGGGCTCCATCCCAGGACCTCAGGATCATGACCCGGGCTGAAGGCAGACACTTAACAGACTGAGCCGCCCAGATACCCCATAGCCATGGATTTTTAAAATTTGCACTGAAGTATGTTATTATACTACAGTATTCCCTCAGATTCAAGATGTACCCCCCCCTTTTTTTTTCATTTTTACACTCTGGAAATTGGGATGTCTTATGATCAATGGGTAATGTTCTTTTGTGGTGGCTCTTTTCCTTAAAAACTGACCTTTACCCAATAGTGTATCTTGCAACTGTTGGAATCTTACACTTACAGAAATTACTTTTTGATGATGACTTAAGGTGATCACTCTTACTTTGAATTCATGTAATGATTGGAAAAGGAACAAGTTGATTCTACAAAGATGATCCAAAACGCTTCATTAAGATTTATGATACATATGTACATGTGGATCATTAGAGCCACCACTCTAGTTAATATTTGGCCTTTTTTATGTTTTGATTTACTTTAAAAGTGCCTCAGATTTGTTCAAATGATAAGATTATCATATTTATCAGAGCAAAAGATCCCAAAGAGACCAACAAGCCTCTCAAACTAGTTCTCAGAAACCCCTTGCCTCACTCTCTTGGCACCTTCTTCTTTGGAGAGTCCTTGTAAAGAGCTAGAATGACAGCCATACCTTTCACTGTTAGCCTGTAGAAGCACATGTGCATGGACCACATGTCACTGGCAAGTTAACATGTACACACAGTGCTGGGCATAGTATTCAATAAAGACCTTCTGGCTCACTGATGTGAAATACAGAACTGTGTTTTAATGGGCATTGAAATACATTTCCAGGCCCAGGATGAAGCCACTACTGCCCAGGTGCTCCATCAGCAAATGGAACTTTATATAACTTTTGAGTCTCTGTAAATGTTCCCCTTGAGCAGAAATGCAGGATATCCAGTTAGCCAATACCCCAATGCCAAGCCAACTCTGAGCCTTCTCACTCTAAGCAAGGTTGATTGCATAACCCTGCCAATCAGATATTTTCCATTTTTCTCTTCCTTGTTCTTTATTGCTTTATCCTATAAAATCTCTCTGCCTTCTGTCCCATTTTGCAGTTTTCCAAAAGAAGACTGCTTCATAAAGTATTAAAGTTTGTTTGTATCAGCTAAATTGTTTTCTTTAATTTTTTTTTTTTTTAACATTAGGCATGCATATAGCTTTTAACATTTGGGAAAAAACAAATTTCTAAAAACGTCACTTCTTTCCTTTTATCTTACCCAAATCCCTTGAGTTAATTTTAGGACTAACTTTGGCATAAATAAAAGCCACCAATAAATTAAACTTTAAAAGTTCTTTTCCCCTTGGATCATAAAAACTGATTTTTTTTTCTATTTTGGAAACGAACATGAAAATTAACCACAGCTAAGGGTGGGATACCACTTTCACAAAACATTGGACCAGAGATGGGAACATTAAAAAGAAACAACAGGCCAAAATGGAGTCACTTGTGCAAGCCCCACATCAGCAAACCAAGACTTAATATCTAACCAAATTGCAGCGACTTTCAACCAGTGACCTTTAGCCAATCTGGAATTAACCAATCAGTAACAGTGAGGTCATCTGTGTGACAGAGCACTCCCCTCCCCCAAAGGAAGGTGACCTTGCCTGAAACAATCCACTCTTTGTTATCAACTTCCTTTTTCAGCCCCCTCTGCCTATAAAAGCCTTCCATTTTGTATGGCTTCTTCCGCTCCTTTCTATTTGCTAGATGGGATGCTGCCCAATTCATGAATTGTCGAATAAAGCCAATTTGATCTTTAAATTTACTTAGTCGCATTTTGTTTTTTTAACAGTGAAATGTGATGTTAATAGCTGATGATGTGAAACATTTATCAAGAAAACAATGAACTTCGCATGACCAAAATTATAGACAACAATTATCTTTAGGAACTATGACAACCCTTAGCAACTATGGGCAAGTTGTTTGGCAAATATTTTAATCACTTAACTGGAAAAATAACAACTCATATGTAACTGGGAAGGAAAAAATGTAAGGAAAAAACAAAAAGGACAAGAAAGGGAGGAAAGGAGGAAGAGGATCTATCTTAAAATATTTCATCAAAATTAAAAATAAAAATTCCTGATTCAAAAATAGTTTACATTCCAAAAAAGGAAAGAAATTCTTTGAATGCTGACATTACAACAGGCACAGAATCAGCATTTGATCTTAAAATAAGAATTATTCTATGCGTATTGTCCACAAACCATGATTAAAAAGCAAACTTCAAATACTACTAAATTCATTTTCTTATTTACTACCTAATTCCATCAGAGCTAATTGAAGATACAATGACCACAGAACTTACAGACAGGAGGAACAAAGTGATCTGGTTTTGCTTATTTTTTTCCCACTTACAGACAAAAATTAGAACAACTATATACTTAATTTTTCAAAACTAAAATAATGTAGGAAAACTTGCACTCTTTAACTGTGAGCATAATTGATATGAATAAAAACATTCTTTTTTTTATTCTTTTCTTATGTTTGGCCCAATAACTTCAGGTACTGAAATAATCTCTTCTAGACTTCATTGAAGGAGAGATATGTGCATAATTTTTACAGCATCAAAAGAGTTTCATTGAGGTAGGTACAGAGGATTTATCATCAGGAAGCATGTATATGCTTATCACGTATGCATATGATGTTTTAAAAACCCTCTATAAATGTTTCTGAGTTACAAAACCTATGACACATTCTAGCTTATTATCCTAGGTTCAGTTTACTATTATCTGGAGTTCTTGTATTTGCACTTTTCCAAGAACCATGGTTAAGAATAAAAGGGAGAGGAAATCACTTTCTGTCTCCAAATGATGTCATACCTGCTTATGCCTAATCGATTTACAAGCTCAGATAAATGTTATTTTCAGGCAAGCTGTGAATTATATTAAATGACTCTGAAAGAGAAAAAGAAAAGCCACCGCTTAAACTCTTAGTGAAGGAAGGCCTTGATTGAAATTCATGTCAACTTTCCATTCTGCAAAGCAACTCATCCACATGAAAATAGTCAAAAAGGACTTCATTTAATTAGTGATATGTAGACTTTTGCATAGAAAAAGGTTACAAAGTAATGAAAAAAAGACTGGGTACAATAATTTTAAAACAAGTATTTAAAAAGTATAATTTTGCATAATGTTTAACATTCTCATGTTTATTGCTCTCTCCACACAGCAGAGAAATGAAGTGCATAAGAATACATGCTGTGTCTTTATCTTTCAAACATAAAATCTCATGTGCTCAATTTCAATGTATTAAGAGATTATGTTGTCATTAAACAAACAAACAAACAAAAAAAACCAAAAGAAAAACACCATTATGTAGCACTAGTCTAGGCATGAACAAAAATAATTTCTGTACATCCCATTGCATACATTCATCTTGATTTGGGATCAAATGCAATCATGAGCTTGACAAAGAGCGTTTAAAAATCGTGGCTTTTCTCTTCCCAACGCTCTCTGTCTCATCACCTCCAGAAATGCAACTTTTCCCAAAGGGTGACAAGAATAGATATTACACATTATCAAGACAAAATGAAGAGGATAAATATGTAAAAATAGTCTAAATGAAACAATAAATTAACCTAAACTTTTACAAACTGGAGAATTTTCAAGTTGGCATGAATCAAATAGCTTCTGGTGGGCACATGGTAGGCAACTGCTTTTAGGTGCACTCTTTCTATAAATGCATTGTTTACATAAAGAAGCACCATATTTTGAACCATGAAAAAAAGTGCCTGGGGGCTTGCAGGCAGGGCAGAAACGGTTGTTAATCTGAGCACTGATGGAATAATCGCTTATACCAATGCACTGCTAAATGTCACCACTTGGCAGGCAAGTCTGAACAAAGAAGCAAACTAAGATAAAACTAGGTCTTTCAACTTGAAAATTATTTTCAGCAATCCTTTTGGCCGAGAAAAACCTGTTGGTTTCCATAGAGTACTCTTCTCTGGCACCTTATTAAAATGTCTGCGACCTAATGCAAGACTTCTGTCCCTTCCCTTTCTTAACCTAACCTCTACACTCTTCTTTACTTGTGCAATGTTATATATTCAGAAGAAAACTTTACTAGCTCAGGCACTTATGAAACACGAGTATTTTTTTTCCATCTAGTTTCAAGAGAATCCAGTCAGATTTTTTTTGTTGTTTTGTTTTTGTTTTTCCCCCCCAATTCAGACATACTGATGCACTGCTGGATGATACAGTCCGCATATTTTCCAGGAAACTTCTAAATGAAAACAAGTGTGAAGGTTTCAAAAGTTGCTGATGTCAGTTACCAAGCTGCCTTAAACAAAACACGAGAAAAAAGATAATACCACATTTCCACTTGGGAGGTTTGTGTCTCAAATAGCTTTATTGTTCCTTTGTGGATCTGTAGACATCTGTATGGCTACTTTCAGGGTGCAGAGGTTTAAGCTGACTCTGAAATGAAGGACATTCAGTTACTATTGCAAAAAGTCCAATGAAAACTCAAAAAGCTCCCACTTCTGTCCCCCAGGGTCGGTAAGGTTTACTGTTTGTTGCACCGCTTGTCTGCGGCGGGCTGGACGTGGCTGCCACGGTTAAGGGCGGGCTGATGGCTGTGGCGGCTGCCACGGCCGCAGCTGCGTTAGGTGGGAGCATGGGGAAGGCCCCCGCGAAAGACAGAGGGAAGCTGTGCGCCGCGGCGGTGGCTGCGGCCGCGGCCGCGTGGACAGTGGCGGACAGGGACAAGAGGGAGGTGGAGAGAGGTGGCACGCAGGGGGCAACGCTGCCCGTGGATGGCATCCGAAGGGCAGAGTCGGCGTGGGCGAACGTAGCCGTGAGCAGGGCGGAGCCGTGGGCAGGAGGCACTTCCGAAGCGGTGGAGAGGCGACAGGGCGAGGACTCGGAGGCGTGGAGTCCGTTGGGTTGGAGCAGGGCCGCGGGGAGGTGGTGGAAGGCTGCCGCCCAGTGGTGCGGGTGCAGGGGGTGGTGGTGGTGGGCCAGAGAGGACGTCATGGCCGCCGCCTCCCGCTGCGAGGCACACGTGCTGAGATGAGAGACCAGTCGCACCCGCAGGGGGTCGGAGGAGTCCAGGCCCTCCACGGAGCTCAGGTACCGGGCCACTTCTGTCAGGCACTCCCGGAAGCCAATGCTCATGAAGTCCATGGCCAGAGCATGCGCGTCAAAGTAGCCTGAGAGGGGGATGGAGCAAGGGGGCGGGGGTCGGGAGAGGGAGAGCAAGAGAAAACGGTAAGGGGACTATGAAGGAACCACCAACTGTGCTCCCCTCGGTCCTTCCGAAGTTTCAAGGAGAATGGCGACCCTTTCTGAAAATGCTGCCAGTTATTTCTGGTTGTAATTTTTGTAGGAGAAATTAACTTTGCAATTCACATGTGTGACAACACTAGCAATGCTATACACTATGGTGGTTCTTGCAACCAAATATCACCGTGGGGGAAAAAATTAAGAACGACCGTGTTTCCAATACTTTCATTAAAAAAAAATAAGGGGGGGGGGGTCCTCTCCTTCTGTACTGTGGCAGTGAAATTCCCTAGTAAACTTTTTCAGGGTAGTACAGAGTTTCAGTCTCTCTGTCTCTGTCACATGCGATGGAGATTAAGGGGTTTATCTGAAACATCCTCACTCTTGGCACTTGTAACAGAGATACAAAATGCATGTTAGCAGCTTGAGGACTTTCTTTAAAAATGTGCTAGAATTTCTTAATAAATTCATATATGCTTCCTGACTTGGTGTTCTTTTTTTTAGCAAATTATATGAAAAAATTTGATGAAACAAAAGATTTTTTTTTAATTTGGGGGTTACTAATTTGAAGATCTTATTTTTCTATCAGGCAATATAAGTCTGCTTTATTGATATGAGATTATTATAACTCCTTGCTTTCCTGAAATTCAAAGATATATCTCCTTCACTGGTTAGCTTACATTTCCCTGGCATTCACCCAAGAAAAAAATGTGTATTAATTTTTCAGTATCTATACATGCACGCCCCCCTACCACCCCCCAAGGTTACAACCATTAAAAATGGCTGGAGCAGAGTCACATATATGAGAATCACTTTTTATCCAAATAAAATAATTAGATAAAAAATAGTAATGTATCATTATTATCAGTGCAAATTTAGGGTAGAATGTTAATCAGATATTTGGGGAAATGTCACCACTTCGAATATGTGACCTCTAATGTGTACAAATGTATCCTTTTCAGATTTTCATTTACAGCTTTTTTTTTTTTTAGCAATTTTCAAATTAAAACTTTACTCGGTTTTGGGATATGGGCACACATAAATGAGAAGTATTACATTCAAAGTTATTTTTACCTAAAGCATTTACTACATTATCTTTTTCACATTTCTGCAGATCAAAGTATTACCTGTTTCATTTGTCATCTAAAAAGCAAACCATCTTACTGTATCATCAAAGCACTTTGGAAAATAGAAGTCACAATATTCAAATTCCTAAAGGTAGAATATCAGCAGAAATGTGAAAGTCCCCAAAAGACACATGGGGTAAAAATATATACCATTAAAACAGTAACAATGACAGCACAAATCTGATGTAAGAGAATATCATGAAATATGGAAGCTCAGCAACAAAAATAGGTATCATTCCAGGACTTCAGTTTAGATAGCAACAAAGTCCCTGGGATTAAGAGGGAAAGCTCTTCCCGAAGACGCCTCCATAGAAAGATTTCACATGAGAACCCTCAGGGTTCTTTGTTGGGCTTTGTAGGCTTCTAATTTTCATGAGAAGGAGGGATGTAATCAACAGGAGACAGAGTCCAGAAACACACAGGGATCTAGAAATGTAGGTTACTCTACTAAATTCTCTCCAGAGGCCATTGCAATACTGAGACAGACTATAAAGAATGGACCAACAGAACTGGAACCCCAGGGGCTTCCAAGAATTTTCATGAGTGGGCAAAGAGTGATTGAAATATGTGGTTTGCCCGTTGTATGTTGTTATATATGGCTGAGTTCTCTGTTGTGTACTAAGGAATATATATTGTGTAATTCCTATTCTATTGCTGAACGCAGAGGGAAATGACGATGAGCAGCTGTCCCCTAGGAATAATCTTGGGCCAATAATGAAAGCACTTGGGTCCATATTGCTTCTCTGTGCCATCACTGCTGTGTGGCTTTAGGTGAATAAACTCCCAACAACCTTGTGAGGTAGACACCATCACTGTCCTCCCTTTACAGATGAGGAAACTGGGGCAAAGGGGTTCGTAGTTTACCCAAGGTCACACAGCTAATATACGGCAGAGCTAGGTTTGGAAACCAGGCAACCCAACTGCAGAGTCTCTGTCCTTCACCACTACACTGTGAGGCCCCCACAGCAGTTGTGAGTCTTGGATGATGTGAGCCCACATTGCCAGCCGCCCACCCGCACCTTCAAGGCCCATACTTTCTCTTGTGGGATGACCTCTCTAATGACTTGGCAGTCAGGTGACTTGTATGGTGCTTGCTTGCAAATGTCTGTTCATAAACTATTCGGGGATGAATTTTAGGACTGTTCAGGTAGCCAAGAATAGCAACCAAGAATGGAACTAGTTTTTATAATAAGGCGTAAGAACAATATTACTCTTTAGAAGTTTAGCTCATGCCAAATATTTGAAACCCTGATAAGAATTCTCAGCCTTGTGCTGAACACCACCAAGAGAGGCAGAGCAATCAAACTGCTGTTCCTGCACCATCACCAGCTCAGTCTGTCTCCTACTATCCTGAGGTGGCAGGTGCAGAATCAAAATCATGGGGCAGGAGGGGCTTTAGAGCTCAGAATGCTAGTGTAGGCCTCACAGCACAACAGAGCACTTCTGTCTTGGGTTAAAGGCGAGGCAATGGCCAAGCTGGCCTGGATCACTGGTTTCTATGATTTCATCCAGTTCTCTTCTCTATTATGTAAAAGTTTTTGCATCCTATGCTGAGGGCTACATTTTAATGATTAGAAATCACAATTCCATACCCATTCAGGATGGTTTCTACAGAAGGTGCAACTGAGGTTAAGTCAAACCATGGGGGCTTCTCTTTACAGTGATCACCACCCCCCCACCACCATACCTGATACAGGTAAAGGACAGTGAAGGCCAGGGCTGATGTTCCACAGGTCCTCGACAGTATGGCCAAACTGGAGTTAAATACTTCAGTACTTCCATTGCAATTAGTAAACGGCTATTTACCTCCAATGCCTTGCCCCTGCTCTGATCTAGGACAAACTATGATACTATGTTGTAATGAAAGGCTAATGCTGAGCAGAGAAGCCGCCAGGGTGAAGGGCAGCACTTATCCCCTCGTGGTGGTGGCCTCTCCCTACCCACCTGTCAAATATATTACTTAACAAAACACTCTTGGTGAAGGTGAATAGCAAAGGCCTGCTTGAAGGATGAAAAAGATACAAAAGGGCAAAATCAAGTCTGAGTAGAAGAGGGATCATGAAATCTGAATGGATATTACAGCTTTCAGGATCTCAAGTCTATTTTTTTTATTAACATATAATGTATTATTTGCTTCAGGGGTACAGGTCTGTGAATCATCAGTCTTAGAAAATTCACAGCATTCACCATAGCACATAGCCTCCCCAGTATCCATAACCCAGCTACCCTAGCCCTACCTCTCACCAACCCCCCCCAACAGCAACCCTCAGTTAGTGAGATTAAGAGTCTCTTATGATTTGTCTCCCTCCTGATCCCATCTTGTTTCATTTTTAATGTGACATGAGGGTCCATCTCTGACCTCTGGATGATTCTGCCCTAAATCACTATCCAGTACAGAAGACGTCTCTCCTGGGCACTGGGCCCAGTGTACCTGTTCCTGTTTGCTGTCTGCAGGAATGACTGTGCTCCATTAATAGTTTTCAGTACAGACATTCACTACCTATACTTCAAATGTTCTGTCTTGTCTAAACCCAAGACCAACCAAAATCTGAAAATAGTGAAAATAATCCTCAAGTCAATTCCTTTGGAATGGCTGCCTTATGTTGAAACCTAGTCTTGATTTAATGGTGGGGGGTGGGGGGGTTCAAGGGAAGGGAAAGGAGAAGAGAAAAAGATTGTCTTTAACCTCCTGTTTATGTTTGGATGTTTGTGTGTTTATTTTGTCTTTCTGTACAGACTCCAGCATGTGCTCCTGAGGTCCCAAACAAATCTCTGACCAGGCTGCTGTGAATGAAGCTTTACTCCCACAGTATTATGAAAGCAAACACAAGCCCAGGGTCAAGTGCTTCTTTTGTTCCAGAAGTTCTTTCCCACGAGTTCAATCCTGCCATTAGCATTGATTTCCACAGCTTTAATCTAGGACCTCCTATCTCAGCTTGTTAAAGAACTGTTCAACTATGACTTTCCTATAATCTTAGAGGGAAAAATGAGAAGTGAGAGGTGGAAAGGGGGTAAAAATGAAGCCACCTACTTACCTTTACCCCCAGTAGCCTGAAGCATCTTCAAATGATCTACTGTCATTTGCAATATTTCGGCTTTCTCCAACTTTGCAGATCCCTGCATAAACAAATAATAAAGTCTTAGAAGTTCTATGGAAACGGATTTGGAATATTGCATGCTGGATTTTCAATTTTCCTTTTCATTAGAAGATTCTAAGTTTAATTTTTTTCACAGAAACATCTGAGTTCTTTGCAAACTTTACATGTAAACAATAATGACTGTGTTGCATACTTAATGACAGATATTTGCCAATTTATCTTTTAAAGAATAAAAGGCATAACAATTTTTTAATCCTAAGAATAATTATACTCCTAAAATCACTCCACTACAACAATTATAACTGCAAAAATCTCAAACCTTGCATCCAATCTCTACCTTATATTTCACTAGGGGACATCCTGCAGTCTTATCTTCTATAATGCCACAGTACTAGATCAGTTAAATCCCACTCTGAAGGATAAGGAGACAGAATCTTAGAAAATTAGATTTTTCAAAAATAAAAAGTTCTAATAAGTCTTTAAGACACACCCCTGGTAAGCAGAAACAAAACAAAGCAAAACAAAAAAAAGGGGAGACTTTTAAGGTGTTTTTGTTTTTGTTTTTTTTCCAAAAATTACCAGCAGGTGTCACTGTGAATTCCAAAATCGTAAACAAGAAAGCATAATTTACTACCCATCTAGTAAGCATCAGAAATGCTTAATGGCAATAAACGGCACCCATTTATTTATTATTGGTTTGAACCCTTTACAATAGTTCTTAATAAGATATTTTGGAAATATATTTATATGTCCTTCTTTTTAAAATAAGGCAACCTCTGGAAACCAACTGAAATACAAATGTGCCACCTTGAACTGCCTCAGAGAACTGTGGGTGGCTTCTAATTTCCTGGAAAAGCTGAATAATTAAACCAATATGTCTTTTTGAAAAGGAAACTCAAGTTTTTTTCAGGTTCGTATGCTCTACTTGTTTTGTGAAAATTATCAGCACCCTCTACATGGTGAGAGTGCCAGAGTTATTTAAACTGTTAGAAAGAACACTCTTCTAATCATACTGTGACAGGGCCAGCTCACTAGGGTTGGTAGCCAAGCTTGGCAAATGGGAAAGCCTGTGTTTATGGTAACTAACTGCCAAACAACTGAGGTTTGCTTTTAAGGTTTAAGTCGACATTTAAGATAAAAAAACCCAAAAACTAAGGGGGAGAGGGGAAATCACCAAACTGACTGTTCTTCATAACTGCAGACATTTCAGTACTCAAAATGAAAACGCCGATTACTGGTATTTTTCATTTTCAGCCTATTGTCATTGAAAATGTTACTTATCAAAACTACAATTTCCACATTACATTTAGCTTACCAAAGACAGCTTCAGCGTATAGGTATCTTGTTTTCTCTCAAAAATGTACAATCAAGAGCATATTACATCTTGTACTTCTGTCAATTTTAAATATATCCATGAAAATGTACAGCAGTTTCAGTGAAAATGATAAATAGCAAAATAACAGTTTCTGGATAATTTCCAAGGGCTTTGTAGGGCTTGCTGTGTTTGTGGCTCATGAAGCAAACAACAAGATGAAATAAACAAACAACTGCTGCCTTATACCCTATTTTAATTAAATTCAAAGCATTTTCAATAGCATACGGTGCCATATTCTTTGAAAGATGCTCTTAGAAATTTGTCATTAGCCATTGCGGCAAGAGATATAAAACTTTTCCAAATGACAAAGGAAAATTTAAACATTTGGCTTCTCCCTTTTCTAAGTGTGCAAAATCTTTTTGGGGGGGGGGTAAAGGAATACCCTGAGTTCTGAAAAAGGAAATTTATGTCTAGTTCTATTTTTACCAAACTTCCAAAAAGATGCCACAACTAGAATACTATTCTATTAATCCAGGCACTAAAAATGAAACCAAGTGATTTGGTAAAAAGATTTTATTAGTATTATCATTTAGGAAATAGAGGTAGAGATATTACTTCCTGGACTTTGGTTATTTTTAAAATAAAAAGCACTTTTTTTTTAACTGTTTGACACAAAAATGAAATTTCACATGATATATTTTTTAAAAGAGCACGACATAAAGCTCAGTTTTAAACAAAACCACTACTGGTCTTCATAGAAAGAACAGAGAAAGCATGAACACTTTTACCCTTAAGGGAAAAATAAGCTGAAGAATGGAAATGTTTTTCAACTTCATGATGGATTATGTTTTTAATAGTTTTGCCACAACAAAGCATTTTATTGAAATAGCTGCTCTGTGCCAGATCAGGGCACATACACCATTATTTTAATGAGCTTTAACAAGAACCCACATTCCCAGATGAGAGAATCAGATTTTTTGAGGCTTTTGGTGGGGTAGTCAGGGGTAAGGGTAGCTTACTTGTTTTTCAAAAGCAGTTGGCACCAGTCGTCTCAACTCAGATAAACTGTTATTTATCCGATCTCGACGCCTTTTCTCTATTATCTATCCCAAAGGAAGCAACACAACAACAAAAGTTTATGAATACACAAATGATAAAATTACTTTTAATGGAAGAATACAACTGTTACACATTAGGCTGGATTACATGAAATAAAAAGAAAAAAAAAAAATCACATACCCCTCTCCTTTTCTTTCTTGCCATAATCTGAGATGTTGTTGTTGGGGAATTGGATCTAATCACAGAGCTAGTACTTTGCCTATGAAATAGGAACGGTATGTCAGGTGCTGCATTAACATAACAATGGTTTCTTCTGGGTACTTCATGGCACCCATTAAACATTGAGTGATTGCACAGTTCAGGTCTGTGTTATTTTATTCTTAATTCTTAACTTTTAACATACTTTGTTTTCAGTCCTTATATCTTTTTTCAGGTAAGAATCATGCCCTCCCTGCTTTTTCAACAAGTCATCCAGACACCAAATCCATTTGCAAAAACATCCCTAAACTTTAAAGTCTTGCAGTGAAAAACTTACGAGCAGTCAGAGTGAGAAGTCAGTTATTAGCACTTCCTAGCTCCACTCATAAAAATTTCTTAAAAATAAACTAATTCTCTAATAGCATCCTCCCTCCAACCTCTGGTCAGATACACTAAACAAAGCGAAGCTATTTTGAAATAAAGGCCATGTTTAGCACCACTATCAAACAGATAGACAGTCATCACATGTCAAACTGTTGTCCCTAGATGCAATCTTCAAAATAAACAGAAGTTATCTTACTATTTCAAAACTTCAGTCATATCTCACAACAGGAAAAAAAAATGACAAATGTTATGTTTTATATACAAATCTTCCAAAAGAATGCCCCAATTAAATATGCCACTCATAGGGAAATTAAAATGAGATCAAGTACTAGGTAAATGTTTTACTTTGAAAATAAAACTGTAGGTACTTCCTAGTCTTCAGCCTAAACTTAAACCTCTAGAAGCTGCAATCCATCTTGAGTTTACTAATGAAAAGATATTTTACACTGAAAGTGCAATCAAATCATTATTTTGTCACTTACAGCTTTTGTCATCCGTTCTAGTTTGTACATGTTTCTCTTCATAATTCATGGATTCTATGCTTCTTTATGTTCTCAAATTCTCCAGGTTCCTGTTATTTGTTCTCTTTCATTTTAAGACTGTTGCACACACCAGGTTCTTATTACCTCACCTCGCACTTCTGGATCTTATTTCTGAGTTAACTGTCCCCCTCAGTCCCACCCCGTCCCAACTGGTTTCGACTTTCACATGACTTCTTCTGTTTTTCAGATCTCATTTTTTAAGATGACGCACACTTTAATAATTAAAAGATACTTCGCGAACAGCGTTTCATGTAAATGTCTCTGCCGTTGCCGATTTTACGCTTTGGTGTGTACTTATTAGAATAACGACGTGGAAAGAAAACCAGTTTTCCAAAGGTAGGAAGAATTTTGCTCTTTGAGTGACAGCTGCAGATAAATAATTAAGGAGCTTGTGGGGATGCCAATTAGAAGCGATTATCATTTGACCCGCCTTGGCATTAAAATGCCTGGTAATCTCCCTCTGTCCCTGGAAAGTGGAGGTCTGGCTTCTGTGATCACGACCCCGATCCTTTCCAGGCTCACGAACAAGCCGTCAAAGAGATGATCTACGTCCGAAACGATCCTTACGTCTGTCACTCACTCTCCCGTCCGCCCACTCACAGTCAACCTGGAAAGCTCAACCTACGTAGCCTTAAGATTACAAATTGCTTTAATTTCTACAAAAGACAAGTCATCTTTTTAGTCTCCTGAAAAATAAATAATATCAATCTGTTTCTCTCTTCAGCTGGCCCATCCAGAAAGTGCTCCCACAGTTTCCGTGGCGGGGGCGTCGCCCGTCGCCTGCGTCCGCCTGTCCGCGCGCCCAACGCTGACAGCCGGGGACCCTCCCTCGCCAACTCCTGCGCTGTGCTTCAGTCGCGTCCCCTCTCCTCTCCGCCCCACCCCTGGTGTGAAAACCGACAACCCCCCGCCCCACCCCAACTGCACGCTCCGTGAGCGCCCACCGCTCCAAGTTTCCCGGGCAAAACTTTCCCGGCTCCGTTAGGACACCGCGGAGAGGAGCCTCGGGATTTCCAAGGAGCAGCTCGCGTACAAAGCTCCCCGACGCCTCGGGCTCCGGGCAGTTCCCGTCGAGCCCGCGCTCACCCCGAGTAATTGTTCTCGCTCCCCACGTCGATGGTCTCGTCCATGTCGCTCTCGGAGGTCGTCTCCTCGCAAGGGCGCTTCATCGCGGGGAAGACGGCGCGGGGCACTGCCCAGCCCGAGCCGCCGACGGGGAGCGGGGCGCAGCGCCCTCCCGGCCTGCCTCCTCCCTTCCTCCCTCCCTTTCTGGGCCCGGGAAGGCGCGGCTGCCGCGGCGACGCGGTCGGCTCCTCGCGGCTCTTTCCCACGCCGCAGCCGGGATCCGCCGCAAGAACCGGCGCCGGCCACGCCCCTCCGCGCGGGCGGGGCTACCTCGCCCGCCTCCCGCGCCTAGGCCCCCACCGCCCCGCCGGGTTCCGCCTCTTTGGGGTCGGCGTGGCCCGCGATTGGCTGGGGAGGAGGGGCGGGGCCGCGCTCGCCAATGCTCGCGGTGAGCCTCCTGCCGAGGCGTGGGAACGCTGCCGCGCACCTCGCGTCCGGGAGCTGCGCGCGGGCGGGAGAGGCAGCGGCGAGCGTGAGCGCGAGGTTGATAACTCCGCTAGGGCAGCACGCGGACGTGGACGTGGGCGCGGGCGCGGGCGCGGGCGCGGGCGCGGGCGCGGCGGGGAAGGGCTTAGAGGGGCGGGCTCCCGACCTCGGGTTTCCGCCCTCCTCCTCACCCCCAGCCCCCAGTCTGGCGGTGAAGTTGCTGCTCTGTGTTTAAAGAATAACCCCAAGCGCGTGGCTTAGTGTGAGCGAGCGTGTAGTGACGTTGGGAGGCGCCGTGGCTTAACCGAACCGCCCCACTCGGCTGTCCCCTGTCTGGACCAAAAGTGCTGACTGGCTGACCCTGAGGGTCACATTTGCCCTCTGGGGTTTTTGAAACTCTTAAATCAAAGTTGCTTTTCTCCCTGGCAACTGCCGAGGCTGCTTCGCGGCCTCTGGGCTGTGGACAGATAAGGACGTGAGTTTCCCCGACCAGGTACCTAACCGCCGGCAGTCGGAGGGTCTGAGGTCGGCTACCCTGTGACGTTCGCTTTGCTCGAAATCAGTTATTTCCATTTGGCCACGGGGGCTGTGGATAGTAAACTCCGCCGAGTGGACCGTGAGCCGCAGTTGTGTCCGTTCTGGTGGCAGGAAAGACTAGACCCATGATGCAGGTATTTGCAGGACCCAATTTTAGTAGTTTTTCAAGTTCGAGTTCTTCGGGCTTGGACTATACAGAGGATGGCGATTCTCCACTCCCCTTGGTGTGTGCAGTCGCCGCGGTAGAGTTAATAATTCCGAACGTGAAAAAAGTGGCGCTTGGGAAACTCAGTTTGGTTTTCTAAAGCACGAATTCGTGTCCAGTTTTAGAGCATTGGACAACGTGGCTTGTGAAAACGACAAAAGTGCTTTCAGAACGTGTTTCTAGCGGCTCTTCCCGCGTGTTGCGCAGCTGGAACAGGCTACGCCAAGGTGCCTCCGCGAGGGCCGGAGCTGAGCGGACCGAGCGCTCAACGCGGTGTGGGCTCGCCCGGCCCGGAGCAGCGGGGACCGCCAGGCGGGCGCCGGGTGGGTCGCGGTCGAGCCGGAGACCCGTTGCTCCCGGACGGCTCCGTGCTTTCGTGGAGGAGAGAAAGCTTTGAGAAAGGGGCGTCTGTCATTCATCACAACCCTGCGCCACAGACGGATTCCTGATTTTCTAGGGATCTGCTTAGGGCGTCCCATTGACACTCCATTCTGTCCCCACACAAGACCGGCGCGGGGCCGGAAGGAGGAGAGGAAAGGATGCGTCGGGGTGGGGTCGGGGGGAGACTGGGCCCGGCGGGGTTGGGCGGGGGAGAGCGGGAAGGACTTGCAGCCAGCGTGTTAAGCCCTCATTAAAACACAAAACCCCCTTCTCCACAAGCCCTCGTCTCTTTTGTGCGGTCCCCACCGCGGTGCCTGCAATAACTGTGTGAACAGAAACCCAAAACGTTTCATCCTGACTTCTAAAACTTAACCTCGGGCAAAGCACACAGTCGGCGGGGGCCGGACAGGCCCTGGTGGGCTGGACCAGGTCAGCTCAGGACGCCGGGGACGCTGAGGGGGGGAGGGGGCAGTGACCCACCCCCAGCCCCAACTCGGCTGCCTGCTTCAGGGTGGGTGCCCAGCCCGCGCGGGTCTCTGGGCCTCTGCTCTTCTGCAGCGCTGGCGAGCTCAGCGCACCGAGCGAAGCTGAGCGGGTCGGCTACCCACAGGCTCCGACCTCCCCTGACGCCACCCGCTCGGGATCCCCGTAGCCCTGCAGTGCTGAGCCCGACCGACTGGTTGCCCGTCCCACCTCCAAAGGAGGATGTGCCAATGGCCAGTCAGCTCCGGCCACAGGTGAATGCGCTGCACCAGGCCTGGCGCGAATTCAACCTTCACGACTTCCAGTGAAGGCTGCACATTTTTCTGAAAGTGAGGGCTTACAGGTGCAATTAACGTTTGCCAGGCGAGCAAATAAACCAACGCAGGACGCAAAGTCTGAGATCCTCACTGAAAAAAGAGAGTTCATTCTCACTATATTAGTGCCTTTGATTACTATAATTGTGAAAAATTGCGAAGAGGGAAATGGTTTGCTTGCAATAAACTAGCAACTGGTTATAATCTTCCCATATTTGTCTTTGAAGACTTAACTGCTGTAAAGTGTTATAAGAAAAAGTACATAAGGGACGTTCGAAAAGCACACGCGGATTTAATGTCGCTTAGAAAACTTCTTTAAGCAAAAAGGGCCATATTTTAAAAAGTGTTTGGAAGAGTGCCGGCACATGGTAAGCGCTATATAAATCCTTTAAACAAACAAGAATGCATAGGTCAAGAGACCTCCGTGTTTTGAGCACTACCAAAAGAATAATATCCTCACTTATCTGCAAAATACTTAGCCGCGATTAGGCAACATGGGATTTTTCAATTAGGTCTTTTATTCCCCTCAAGTATTCGATTTGACTATCTCCTGGTTAGGCATCTTGTCTGATCTACTGAAAGTAACTCTCGGGTCAGAGGAAGAAACAGAGGGAGGAAAGGCCCCGGTTTACTTAGAAACGGTTGTGGATTGTCGGGAGATAGAGGGGGATGGAGGGGTTGCCTGTGCGGATAGAAAGAAAAGAGAATGAGAGAACGGCAGGATTTCAAGCCTCATCGCCCCTCAGCGACATCCTTTTCAGTGAAAGTTGGTTGAAGGCTTACTAAGAGCCCGGGCAGAAGAAAAGATATCCGCGCACAGAGCAAACCACGGCTCTTTCCTTTTCAAAGATTTGTACAATGAGATAATGAGACCGAAAGATATGAGAGACTTTCCTAGAGACGAAATGCCATTAGGAGAGAAAGCTCAGGACGAGGATCTAAAGGGAATGGAGGAGGGGGGAATCTGCCGTCTTCCCGAAATTGGTTATTTAGCCCATGTTTTGTGTTTATGTGATTTAGCTCACTGAAAGTCGTGGGAGTAAGATGTAGAATGCCAAGATGTGGAAACATCAGGCTCAATGGCCTTGATCCCCCTCCCCAACTCTTCTACCCATTTAATTTTGCAGCTGTTTAAATTACAATTTTTGTACCTGTGTTTCTAAGTTTGGCGATCTTGACTTAGTTTTATATTGTCCCACAAAACATGGGTTTTCTTGCACAGATTAATGAAGTGCTTACTTTGCTGTAATTCTGAAATTCTCCTTGCACCATTTAGGGAAGGAACCTAGGATTTACAAAAAAAAAAAAAAAATGTTGGTCTGCTTTTTTCTTCATTAGAGCACTCTAATGTTTCAAGATCAGTTGTCACACACTTAGCTATTTGCAACCTTTCTGAATCCTTTGAGATGCTCTTTACAATTACTTAAAAAGTGTCTGCCATTCCAATGTTTGGCTTCTCTTAGAAAGTCACCAAGGCATGACACCACTTTAAAAAAATGGTTTAACTTGGTTCTCAGTGAAATTGTAGGCAGCTCTGTTATGTAAAGACTATGTTAGTCTGAGAAGCCTATGTGCATATAGTTCAAATTAAGAAATCCAACTTTGGGCCTGTCTGAAATATATATTATAATTATTTACGAGCTTTCTCTTGCAAAGGGAAGACAAACAGGTTGCTCTGAGAAGTGGTAGTCTATTTGCAATTGCTGGGGCAGGTGACAAGCACGTGCATCTGTGGGCAACTTTGTTGGGCTGCCCTCCCTGACTGCAAGGCTATTGTGAACTGGCAGTGCTTTAAAGTGTGTGAAAAAGCTGCACCCTGAGGGTGGAGGGCAAGGGCAAGATCCTTGTAAATTTTAATACCTTTCTCAACATCAGGCTGGCAGAAGGCAGGCCAACCTAGGGTCACGTCATACAGGATACATATTAGCAAGCCAGTAAAGTAAAACAAAGCAGAAAGCAAGGGCAAACTAGGCCCACCAACCTTGAAGTCAACTAAAAAGGAACTGCTTTACTAGTTAACAATTATTTTTGCTTGGTCACATAAAGTGCATCATATTTCTTGGCTCACCTCAATAGGTGCTACTTATTTGTTACATCAAAAACTCTGAGGTTGGAAATCTTAGACCCAAAGCCTCCTTTCTTCAGAGTTAGAATGTTTAAATTGATCTCTGTTATTAAGAGGTAATTTATTTAAAAGCTTTTATTTCATTAATGGTGTTATTAGTTCTTAGCACATGCCAAAGAATGAAATCTGGTTTTATTGCTGGACTCTTGAGGAGAAGATTGTATAATTAAATAACTAGTATTCCATACCCTTGTAAGCCACAGCCAAAAGATAACTACACTCACTCTGTCAGCTTCTTTGTGAGGGTTAAATTGATATTGGCAGGGTTTTCTTTCAAGGAGATTCTTTTGAATTTTTGTTTTCTTGAAGTTGGTTTGACTGGAATTCTTTTTTTTTTTTTTCCTCTTTAAGGGTATGGTTAGATACATTCACTTCTCTCATGGAAATAATTTTTTTTTTTTAATCTTTTAACTAACTACATCAGAATCCTCTGGAGTAGGGGGTACACAATAAATGGTTTGAACTGAAATTCTTTTTGAAATTAATGATTTTCCTGCTTCTTTCCACATATATAGAATTTAAATTCATTAGCATAATAAAATAGCAATAAACAACCATGAATTTAAAAGCTGGAAAAGCATTTACTGTTAATGGGATCTTAGTTTAGCTCTGAGCTTCCTGGCAGCCAAGTCAGAAAGAGAAACATAGTGACTTTTCTAATTCTTGTAACCAGAAAAGAGGAAGCATATCTGCTTTTCAAAAAAGAAAAACGTTATCCAGTAGCTGACTTTTAAAACTACATGACTGCTTTGTTCACAGA